AAGCGTTGTGTCATCGTTGAATGCATCATGATCCCTAGAGAAGGCTGCGTCGTCTGCGGTGGACTCATCGGTAGCTGAAGTTAAATCTGGAGGGCTGCCACCGTTGTCGGACTCTTCAATGATCGGATGAGTTTGGGTCAGAGTAGGCTGCATGAGGGCCGAATTTAGTTGGAAACTTCGATGTGAAATGGTTGAGAGTTGCTTCTGGTGAGAGGCGTGCCACGTAGGCGACATTGGATCAATGCTGGTGGTTGGCGAACCAGGGATCGAGTCCATTGTATGATCGAATAGGGAGTTCCGAGGGTTTGATATAGGCGAGCTTGGGACTGACGAAGGTGCAAATTCAGACGGTTGGTCCGAGTATGTGGACCAGCAATTTGATAATAGGGAATCCCTGTGCATATGCGATCCGATCTGGGGCCGTGCCAGGCCGCTGGGAGGAGTGCTCGGTGCTGAACTTCCGGGAGGGGTAAATATCCCTGGCGTGAGTGATCGCCGTTTCTTCAGTGGCCTCTTCGCCTCCTGCTTCGATTTCGGTAAATGGTAATGATGGTGGATATGAAGTTCCTTGGGTGTTCTGGGAAGCTTCTCTTGTGGTGACGACTTTCCAGACTCGAGCTCCGCCCTTAGTGTTGCAGAAACGTTAGTTTGCCCATCTCCCAGTGGCTGGTGATACACGAGTTGGTTCTGCAGCGCCTGGATCTCGTCGTTGGAGTTCATGAGCATCTCCCGCAGTTCAGAGATACCATACTGGAGATTGGCGTTATCCTGGAGCAAGTCGCGGACGAAGTGCGAGACCGCGGTGCTCCCGGCCCCGGGGCCACGATCCAGGGACTTAGCAGCGGCTGCTCCCTTCAGTCGGCCCGCGGCCGTGTTCAATTCCTTCTCCATCTCACGCTGTCTTTCTATACGGCCCATCATCTCGACATGGTATTCTCTCTCTTCTCTGGCCTCCCTCTCCATTCTCTCAAGTTGTTCCTGCAAGTCATTGATCCCTCGCTCAGCTCGCTTCCATCTTGATACTGCAGATCGGGCTTCTTCCCGGGACAGAGATAGGTGGCTTTGCAGCTCAGCTTGCTCCTGCTCTAATGTCGCAAGTTGGCGTTCTAATGCAGCAGCCCGCGCCGTCTCTCCCTCCAGCCTTCGAACCGTCTGCTGCGAGGAAAGAAGGGTGGCCTCGAGAGACGTAATGCGACCTTCAGTGTCGATGACCGTTGAGTTAAGCGCCTCTAGTTGGTCCAGCAGGTTTCTATTATCCTCGATCGTTCTCGCATTCGTGGCCTCCAGTTCCTTGTTCTCAACCTCTAATTGCTCAATCCGCGCAGTGAGCTCGGTGCGATCCCGCTCCGCATCAGCCATGTAAGCTTCGTGGCGCGCAAGCAGGGCCTGCAAGGCAAAGGTTAGAGACTTCGAGACACCCATGGCTGCAAAGCAGGTTATATTATGCAGGTGTTCTGGAATGTAGATTGAGAATAGATAGCAAGGGAAATGCCACAACGTCGAAGACACATTCCTAAGTATTTGTAGTGATTCACGTAGGGCGTAGAGTGGGGAGGCCAGTGAACAAACTAGGAATGCGGTAGGTTATAAGAGAGCTAACTTTAGCTTCACACGTACGTGACTCGCGCACTCGAGGAGCTGTTGGAGCTATTGTGGCTTTGAGTCTAGATATAGCTCATGGCCACGTAACGGAACAACGTACCTGACCCATTCGCGCCGCCGTGTGGACATCCTTCTCGACGCTAGCGAGCACAGAACAGTTATGTCTCAGAAAGACGCACTCCACGGAACCACAACAACACTTCAAAGACCCCGGTTCAGTACAAGCTGTGGGAGGATCGACGTCGGCGCAGTTGCCGACAACAGCCGCCGCGGAGTGAATGGGATCAGCCATGGCGAATGCTAACAATCGCTTCGTTGCGCGTCCTCGCCAGGGAGTTCAGCATGCTGGAATATGGAGGCGCCTAGAGGATTAAGGGATCATGAGGAGTTCGACTCTGCTGTTGAATCCGGCCAAGGGAGGCAGTGGATGAGTCGGGTGGAGGGACCTCAGTGGGATGCGCCTTTCGGCGCGTCCTTCCGAGAAGGAAAAGAAGGGTGAGGGCCTTCTAGTATGATGTCTCGCATGTATGTACAGACTCTCCAAGGGACCAGGGGAAAAGAAGGACAAGACAAAAAGCAAATGACAGAAGAGGGGAAAAGGGAATTAAAACCGAAGTTGAGTCTAGGTTAGTTGAGATGTTTCTCGCGTCGCCGTCGGTCGAAGTGGAGAGATGATTAGATCAAGTGGGGGGGCTCAGTTTATTAGTTGCCCTTTTAAGGTTCATATTAGGTATTCCGTGGGAATGGGAAGGTGCCTGGCATTAGGTGGGTATCCTTGCCTGTCATATGAGAATAGGTAACGACCCTTCTAGGTTAGGTACCTATAGGTAATTATTGTCCATTCATCCTGCTGTCTAAGACATGTCGCTCTGAAAAGGGTGTAAGTGAACAAGAAATGATAGGTTACGGAACATACACTATACTTATACTTCTCCTGACATGTTATATTAGATACAGCTGTCGATTGTTGAAGAAGGGGTTGGGGGTCGGTCACAGGGACAGATCACCATCGTTACCGTGTTTGGTTGCACAGTTCGTCTTGGCTGTCTTCTGATAGGCGGGCCATTTCGCGGGACCTCGACCAGGATCTCGGTCGGAATGTGCGATGACGCACCACAGTCCAATCATAGCAATAATAAGTCACCCTCACAAATCAAACCGCACTTACTCGACATCAAGAACCACGGACAGGACACCGCCCCCCTATGTATACTAAAAGCCTACAGCGATATGTCGGTAGGAAATCAAGGGGTTGACCTATTCATGAATTACAAAAGGAGAAATAGCCATGACTTCCATTTGCGCTTGCTCGCTCACATAACACTGCATACTGACTGACCGTAGGTTACAAGGTAGGTAGTCAGACATAAACTCCAGTGTCTTGTACCTGACACTAGTCCAGGTGCACACAAGTCCCATCCCGTATACAAACCTCATTACCGCCTCTCCCCTACGCCGGCAGCGGAACGCTCAAGATGTCCAACCCGCCTTTAAGCTCACTCTTGGACGGCATGGCGCCCAGCTTCATGAGTTCCGCCGTTTTGGCCATGGCTGGATCAACAGCCATGCTGGCCATCGCTACCACAGTTTCCCCCTTGCAGTAATAAGCCACGAATTTGCCCTCGCCTGGATTCCCTTGCAACACTAGCTCATCCCATCCGTGCATCGAGTTGCCGCAATATCGAAGCTGACCTGTCAGGGCCGACCAGAATATCGGAGTGAAGAAGTCAGACTTCAGTGAAGGGTTGACGATGTGGTGCGCTACTACTCTCCCCTGATTCTGCGCCACGTTCCAGTGCTCGATTCGCGTGTAATTGCCCTGGCCGCCTGGGCCGTGGTAAGGGTACGAAGCGATATCTCCGATAGCGTACACATCCTTCAGGCCAACCACCGAGAAGTTCTCATCTGTCTTCAAAGATCCGTCTGCCTCTAGTCGGACAATCTTATTCTCCTTGAGATATCCCGTCGAAGGGGCCACGCCGACACCCAACACGACAAGATCGGCGTCAAGTTTTGTGCCATCCTTGAGATGCACCGAGCCTACTTTGGATGCATTGGAGCCAGACGGCTCAGCTTTGTCCACGCCGGCTGACATGTGGAATTTGACACCTTTTCCTTCCAATAGCTTTTGAAGGCCAGCACCCACTTCTTTGCCTAATACCCTCTCTAGTGGCACACTTTCCTGGCCGACTACGGTGACATCGTTGTCGGCCGCTGTCGCATTAGCCACCTCCATGCCGATGAAGCTGCTGCCGATAATCACAATCTTTTTGCCCTTATCGCCAATGGCATCAACGATCTTCTTTGCATCATGAACTGTTCGCAGCAAGAATATGTTTTCAAGCACTTTGAAGCCTTGTACGGGGAGATTTCGTGGCGAGCCGCCCGTAGCGAGAATCAGCTTGGAGTATATGTACTTCTCCTTATTCTTGGTGATAACCGCCTTGTTTACGAGGTCGACATCGACGACTTCGTCGTGGACTATGTCGACCGAGCCAGATTTAAACCACTCCTCGTCCCTCCATTGAATTTTGGTGTGATCGGTGATTAAGGCCTTCGACAGCTTGGTGCGATCGATAGGTAGGTAACCCTCATTGGTGATCATGGTAATAGGTCCGGTGAACCCCTTCTCTCTCAAGCCTTCAATGGCGCCAATCGCTCCACTGCCTCCGCCAACCACGACCACTTTGTCAGCTAGAGCACCGCCACTGAGTCCACACTTGAAGTTGGGCTTTCGTTTCGCGGCTTTGATTGTAGCCTCCTCGCCTTCAATGTAAATGCCGTCATCCTTCTCAACGATCTTAAAAACGGGCAGGGCGTCTAATGCAGGTGCGTTCTCGATATCGCCAGTCTGGCCGTTGAAACACGCTATGTTGATGAAAGGAGGCTGACGTCAGTCATATAAGTTCTATGCTTACGGGAGAGGAAGGACACAACGAATAGTCGAGTTAGTGGCGGACTAACCTCCATGCCACGGGCAGGTCAATCGTCCACCTTTGGTTAAGACGCCCTTCACGAGAGGAGCTCCGTAATGAGTGCACTTGGGCCCCATTGCCGAGATCTTCCCGCCAGCGTTAAGAAGGAGGACTTTACCGCCCTCAATGCCCTCGACTTCGGCCTCTTGCTTGTCGCCGGGCTGTAGCGCCAGCGAGGATACATCTTTGAGCTTGAACAAAGGCATGGCTCTGACTGCAGACACAGAAATTGACCTGACGGGGAAGTTTGTCTGGTATACGAGCTTAGAGTTAAATCTGAAATTAGGGAGGCCACGAGCTGTAGAGGATCGCAAGAAGATTGACCTTGCAGAATTCATCAAATAGCAGAGGAGGGGTCGCCCGGGTGAAGACCTAAGGGGACAATAAGAAGACGGAATATCGTATTACCAATTATCTGTCAGGGGTGACTTGGCGTAGTGGTTCCACGCCTGGTTCGCCTCTGCCGCGGTGGCTATCCACCGGCAGGGAGGGGGTTCGAATCCCTCAGTCACTACAAATTCTGTTTCCTAACAGAATCGAACCCTAACACCCAACAGTAAAAAAGGGAGCACTATCGTTGCGCTATCGGCCCAGATCCGCAATAAGGGCTAAGCATTCTAAAGCTATATAGCTAAAAAGTTGCTAAAAGTGCTAGCGCTGGCCTAAAAAGGCTAAGGAATAGACCGATTGTATAGAGCTAATAGGTAAGGGACTTTATCTATCCTAAAAGACCTAAGCTAATAATATAAGGGGTATACTTTTACCCTATATTCACCCTTTTTTAAATAACCTATAACTAGCATGTAAGCAAAACTGCTAAGCAAGTAAAAAAGACCGATATTATAAACAAAAATAAAAGCATAATTAGGATATGCTCCACCGCTAACCCGCCACCAAATCATAACCAGAACGCCTCCTAGTTAGCGGCTCTAAATGCTATATAGTAAGGTATAAGAGAACACGCTTAAAAGCAAAAGGAGGTAAAAATAAAGATGGAGAAAACAATCAAGCACCCTATAGAGGGGTTTTTCAGGCCGGAAGGCCTTTTCCCTGCTCAGGAGTAAGTGTTTAAATACAAACCTCAAACGTAGCCACTAATATTTGGTAGGATGCTACCGGATCACAAATAGGATACCATCGGGTAAAAAGATATAGTAAAAGAGTTACCCTACAGCAGTTCCGCACACCTCACCTATAATCAAAGACAAGGAATTAGGTACTCAACGTAAGATAAATAATAATAATAATAATAATTATCTGTCAGGCTGAAATGACAAGGGGGGGAGTACGAACGAACCAAGCAGGCGATGGGAAAGGCACGGCGGTATGTAAGGTATGGACGAATGCATGTAGCAAGCACAATGTAGCAGGTGAGGGGTCAAGAAGGAGGATGGTGCGAGATGAATCAATGGCTCAAACTCTCTCTACTAATGTACCTACCAATGATTATATCCATTCTCCGACCACTCGTAGGTGTTTGTCGGCGTCTCTTGTATGCACCTTCCGTTCTGCTGTCGTAATGCATCCTCGACATATCGGGGTAGAGTTGTAATCCCGAGCTTCTCAATGGTCAGAGCTATGCTTGTTCACCAAGACATGACATCACCCCATTCGATATGGCTTCACAGTCCCGCATTTCTAAGACTGCTTCAGCCAATCATCTAGCTTCGGATTACCACCTTCTTGTCCATACCCGGGCTGCGGCTTACAAAGAGATGCATGCATCGTTGGCTTCATTTCATCATCTTCTAAGCTTCTAATTGGTTCAGGTACATAGTTCCCAAGATGCACCTCTCTGACCTGCATTACTTCATCTTGGTACATAAGGTAGGTACGTATAATCTAAAATATTTTCGACCCAATCCATATATCGACTGGACGTAGTATTCGACTGCCAGTAGAATTGGTGAGCAGAACTATCATCTGCTCCCTTTTACTTTCGCCTTAGGAAAGCCCCCGCATGAATAACGGCAGCCCGATATCGTCATTGAAGTCAAACCCGGCAAGGTCCATGGCAGAAGTGTCTAGAGATGACCCTTGCGACCATGTAAACTCGGGAAACTAGCGGTACAAACCCGATTAGCGAGAGCTCTCGTGCTCCGTACGCTACATCACGGCCACTCACCAAGTTCCGGCTCAAGCCCTCAGAAAACGCCCCCAAATGTGAGTAAAGGGGCTGTGTGGCCGACGTCGAATGTTCATATGTTTTCGCGGCGGCCTCGAACCGCGCCATCGCATAATCTGCCGCTTCCTCCAAGCTTATAAGAATAACGCGAAGTCTCTTGAAAGAATCCGACTTGGTATGCTCAAGCAATTTCGCCATGCGCTCCATGGTATTCATCGTAAGTTTCCGATCATCCATCGCCCGCTCGTGGGAAGGGAAATATACTATGTTAGCTAGCAGGACAATGAAAGCGGAAAAGTATGAGCAGCCGCTCAACCTGCGAGACATTGTTTTCAGTGAATACGCTTTGAACGGAAGACGGCCTCGTCCTCCACTCACCACAAATTGCACCCGCCGTAGCATTTATCTTTTAATATCTGCAGGCATCCACGACTGGCGTTCACGCAGTTATTCCAGGAATCCGGTAGATGGCCTTGCTCGTGTTTCAAGCAGACGTGTGATTGGAAGTCAAAGGTTTGCAGGGCTGTAGTGGTGAAACTACTGATAGCTTTGACCCAGGGCGACTCGCGAGAGTAAAGACCATTGACTGTAACAGCACACATTAGGTAAGTGTGGTATAAAAGTATCATATGAGTTAGTGGTGCCTTGTCGAGGGTCTTCATTACATTCTCAAGACGCAGCGGCGTTGGTATCGTCTGCAGCCACCGACTGAGGAGTCGGGCTAAGTGCTCAACCCTCTCCTGGCGAGCCTCGGCGGACAACTTCATCGACCGGTTGCTGAGCAGGTAGTCATAAACCTTCCCTTCTAAGTAAGCTAGTTGGACTCTGGCGCGGAAGTAGTTGAATTGTGTGTATCCATCAATACTTTGAAGATAATTCCCATCGTCCCCTGACTCCGTCCCCGGGAGATCCAAGTCTACGTCAGCTTCGTTTTGAACGGACGGAATCTTCGAACGAAGGCTAACATCCTATTCAGGATCAGACTTTAAGACAACACTAAAAGCAGGCCCGCATGGAGCTCACCTTGTCTAAGTAGTAGCAGAGCCAGAAGATATTGCTTCTGTGACGTGCCACTTCAGGCGGAAAATTAGACAGAGATGCTTTCGCATGAAGCTGTAGTCTATGAGCCAGTCGGACGGCTGTACCTATCAACACCGATGCCGGCTTCTGGTCGACGTTTGTCTGGAAGAGGACTAGAACACCTCAGGTTAGTGATAACTGCCTATAAAAGATGCCAAGATTTTTACAGGCCCATTACGTGAGCTGATGCTCAGGGATGGCTGCACCAATTCAAAATTTACTTACTTACTAGGCCCAGGAGAACCTGTATTCCAAGAGTGTCTTCCTCACGGGTGGCAAGTTCATCCAGCTCCTTTTGAGCGTTGTCGATGCACTTCTTGACCTTGCTATCTTCAAATCTCCCAACGATATCTTCTGCCTCGGCCGAACGAAGCCGATAACCGATAGCCAGGACTATGTTTATAGCAGCCCAAGCAGCTCTTGACTGCTTACTATGGTCCTCTTCAGAATAGAAGTTGTACAGCATTTGCGTGAATTGGTGTTGATGAAAGAGTGGCAGTGCAGGATTGAAGTCGCGGAAGTAGTCGTCAACGACTGGCAGAATTTCAGTGAGTGGCGGTATCGCTTCTCCATGATTCACCAGAGAAGCTGGGCTGTATGAGCCTAAAGTGGGTTGAGCGGATGAGACGCTAGAGCTGTCTGGTTGATCTAAGTCCCTACTGCGCTGTCGGTCTGCTGTCATAGCTGGCTTAGGATTACCAAGTCTGTCCAGCTTAGCCTCTATTCGCGCAAGACGAGCTTCTATGCTATCGCCGTCTACGGCGGAGGTTAATGGTTGAGTTTCCCTCGGGGCAGCCGGAGCTGCTCTCCTTCGAAGGACAGTTGTGCTACATGGCACCTTATACAGCAGACAATTTGAGCATGCTGGTTTTAGCATGTCGCACTTGATTTTCTTCTTGAAGCAAGTGTCACCTTATATGTGGATAGCCATTAACGAATGAAGAGACAGAAGACTACACGTTCATTGGAAGACTTACATGCTTTACGGCGGGAGCTGGTCTCCATCCTCAAGGTTGAAATTACCTAACGACTTTTACTCCAACTGCTTCTTTATTATATGTTTGAAATAGAGTAAAGTAGGGCACAAGGTATCGGAATAAGACCACAGATATCTCCAAAAGAATGCATTTTGATTAAGAGGATAAGGGGACTTGTAAACTCATTAGAAGCGTGTAAAATTCTTAGAAAGGGGCAAAGTACTAGTTGCTGACAAATGCAAATTCAGATTTGCATATGCGATTAAGAGTATTAAAGCTCGCATAAGGTAGGCACGTATATCTATTTAATGAAGAGTCAAAGGGCTAATTCGAGCTTTACCATCTACAGACAGGAACATTGTGTCGTTACGAAGGATCTTGGCCAAGGCAACTCCGGGACGAGAATTTAAACTGCCAGGAGAGGTACAACTAGATCCAAGTACAATGAGTGGGAGCGTCCCTATTTATCTCTATACTGTCCTTCTAATATATATTCTATATCGAAAGTCTAATAATAACGTGTCTTCACTTCCCACTCAAGTGGTCGACGGAATACCAATTTGCATACGTTCGCGCCTCTCTCCACAAAACAGCATGCAAATTATTTTGTCAGCCGCTTGCCACTCTCACACCATGGCATCAAAAATGAACCTCAAAGGCGGAGGCCTCGTAATCCCTCTAGCTTAGTCTAGTAAGCCTCTCCGTACGGATGCGAACTCAACTCTGGAGCCCTCAGGTCAGGGTAGCCCCGGAACTCCAACTTATCGCCATCCGCCATCATTTTGGCCATGTGTTCGCCCAGCTCCGCCAGGAACTTCTCAACCGCCGTCGGGTCGCTCATGTCGAAGGGCTCCCGCCCCGTAGCGATCTGCCGCATCTGGGCCCCGGCCGCCGTCAGGTGAACCATGACTTGGTCCTGAATTTCAAGTCTGGGTTTGATGGCGGCGGTGACCTTACCAGCGAGGATATCATTCGGCAGACGCGGCTCCTGCGCTGCCGGGCGCGCGAGGCCGATCCCATCGAGGGTGTCGAGAGCATTGACCATGGCCGCCGTGGTGCGGAAACCGCCGGTGAGGAACTTCCTCGTCTTCGACAGATGCGGCACGATATCCTTCACAAATTCAAAGAAATACGCCTCCCGCTTTATCGTCGAATCCTTCTTCTTATTGTTGTAGCCGAAGTCCTCGTGGTTGCCGCCCGAGAGCTCGACGTAGTCGAAGCCTAGCTCTTCCAACTTCTCGCACAAGACCTTGGCCTCCGCCGGCGTGATGCCTTTGTCCTGGAACTCGACCGAGTTGAGCTTGATTCCGACAATGAAGCCCGGCTTGATGC